CCTGCCTTGGTCCGGGTGTTTGAGTGCGCGGTTCTCCTGGTGCGTTGCTCGTGTGAGGGCTGCGCCGTGCAACGAGAGAGGGTTTACTCCGTGGTCGGCTGCCGTTTGATGGTCTTGTATGGTTGGCAGTGCTCTGTAGGCATTTAATGAGTTAATGCCAAATTAATGCTCAGTGAGGAGCGTGTGTCTTAAACAGCTAAACTTAGAGAAATGTTTTATCCTGTTCTCGGTCTTGACGGCTCTGTGATGGATTTTTACAACTTTCTGTTTTCCATTTCATTTTTGATTTTCAAAAGTTTCTATGTGCAGTATTAAGTGCTCTTCGGAGTTTTTGCGGTTCACGTGAAGCTATAGGGGAAAAGATTTGTGAAAACCAACTCCACGGTAAAAAAAAAAAGTCGTTTAAAATACATATCTTAGATTTGTTTAGCATGTTTTGTAGTGATGCTTTTGAGCAATTTGCATATTGCTGTTACACCTACAAAATACGTTTTGACTATAGTCTTACATGTTTTGACTATAATCTCACGTTAAGTTATTATTTCTGTAGAAAATATACTTGAAAGTGTTTTTTCTTCGAGTCCTTAGTAAATGTTGGAAGGCAGTATGCACAGGCTCAAATAGAGCTTTTATACAGATCCACTAATGTGCGAGAAGCTGAGATTGCTGATGGGTTGCTGGATGCAGGAATAGCATAATGGGAAGATACGAAGCTTTTATAGAAAAACTTCCTCTGGACATAGCTGGTAAAATGAAAAGTAAGAAAAAATAGAAATTAGTTAAGTGTGTGTGAGGAGGTGAAAAACAGCTTCATATGAGTTTCATCTCTAAGAAAAAAGCTAGCTGAACCTCTGTGTTTTTAATTGAGTTGAAAGGATAAAATATCAGCATAGCTCTGTGATTTTAAGCTTGCTGGAATGTAACTCATTTGGAAATATCGAAGACTATAATATGAATGTTTAGAGACTTGCTCTCTGGGAAGGGCACAGTTCTGTTAGAACACTTCAAAATCTGCTTGCTGGAAGTAATCAGGATACTGTTATTTTTGAGCTGTATTTAGTACGGTCTATGCCTAGTGTCCTTGTTTGAGAATATTGTTTAGAATATTCCATCTGTGGCGTCAGGTAATCGGAGACTTACAGTGAAGATAGTTGAAGATAGCTTTTGTGAAAGTTTTTAATGAAATAAATGTGGGTAGCTGTTTGTATTATGTAAAGATGAATACTGCCACTTGTCTTTATAGTGAAAGGTAGGGAGAAACTTCTTTTTCTATGGTTTCAGTAGATTTACATAACATGATGATGAGGAAACGGCTTACTGAATTGGACTGTAAACCCAGATGGCCTCTAATCTTGTCGAGATGAACTCGGCATGCTTAGTGGCATAGGTCAGGATAGAGCACCAGTTGAAACGCTGGGTCTTGCACATCTACAAAAGTGAGCAGTTTGTAGCTGAAGGAAGTTCTTACAAAACATAGGAGTTTTCTAAAATAAGCTGAACTGAAAGCTATGCATTTGTCTTGAATGCTTGTCAAATTTACCTTCAGTTGGCAGGAGAGCTTCCCTCCATACTTGTCGGAGGATGCTTGTGCTTCTGCATGAAAACAAAAAATATGGAAGGGTATTGTGTTCTTATTTTCTGAAGAAGTCTGACAGTCCACCTGGGTGAAAGATGCACCGAAGGTGTGGTTTTACAGTTGATGTGTCTGGGTTTCTCTCCTCCTGATGACATGGCTTTTGTTTGCCTTCCTTCAGCCCACAGATAGTTCTTATGTAGTCATAAGGTTAGCCAGATCAGGGAGCTTATCCAGTTGAGAAGTCATCTGTGGTTTTTTTTTTAATTTCGGTTTTGTTCTTGGGTAGCTAGTTAATAAATAGATGGTACTCTTTGATTGCATGGCCTAGTGGGAACTTCTGTTAGGACAAAGAAGGGAGTCTGAATGAATGTGCAAGGACAGTAGTGCACAGATCTGCCACTTCCCAAAATAGCAGGCACTTAATTACACCTGTGTTACGATACGGACCATGAGATGCAGAGGCTGAATTACTCCTGACTGTGTTAGCTTGACTTAGGTTGGTACGCTGCCTACTGGAGAGGTGGTTATGGTATAATGAGCATACCTGGTAGATCGCATTTCCTTAATGGTATAGTAGTAAACTGTGTTTGCATAAAAAACATTGCTTTGTGCAAGTGCACTGCTAAGAGGGCCGTACTGTGTGATTTGATTGAATACTTAAGCAAGATGGGTGTACTAGTACAACTTTTAAACTTAGTTCAGGATTTTTATTTTTTTTTCTGGAATGGAGTTAAAAAAAAAACAACCTTGGGTACTTCTTAATCTAGAGTTTTAGGTGATTTCTTCATCTGCACTGTGTGAAATCTCAGTGTGAAGTAGTAGTAGATAGGTTGCAGTAAAATGTTTAGAAATCAATGGTTCTTTTTAATTTTTTTTCAGCTAGAGATAAAGCTAGGATCATCTCCTAATATAGCAGTTAAAACTAGCTGGAAAAGTTGTCTGCAAGACTGTTTTTCTTCTATAATAGAACTTCATAGCTGTTATAAAGAAAAATTTGTAGCTTTGTGTAGTGGAGCTGTGCCAGCAGCAGTTACGCTACGCAATTTTTATTGCTGCCTGAGACGACTTTATTGCTAATGTCAAAACTAGAAGTGAAAGTGAACGCTTTTGACATATAGATTTATTTATACTGCACAGAATGACACTATTAGATAGCAGCAAAGCTCTAGGAAACCCAAATTATTTTGTTTGGTATTGCTAGAAACTATAATATAAGTGGCACGGCATTCACTGTTTAAATAACCTGTAGTAAAGAAAGTAAAAATCCTTTTATTCATGTCTATTTTCCATGTACTGTACCAAGTATCCAATGCTCTATTGTCAACGTCTTAGTATTGAAATAAATGCAAAAGTTTAACATACTAGATCTCCCAAGTGACTTATTGTATCGAATAGACATCACCTTGGACCTGAAAGTGCTGGCTTCATGAATCACAAAGCAGTCTTTTGAAGCCCTATATAGTGTGTTTTAAAGTGAGGAATATTGAGAGCCTCAAAAAAAAAAAAACAAAAAACAACTGTCTTTTCTAGGAGCAGAGAGTTAAAAAAAAAAAAGAGGTTAAAAAAAACAAACAAGCCCATAACTACTTATTGTTTAATTTTTAATACCAGTATCTGTGTTCTTCTCACTGCTACATTTTAAGTAACAGGATTTAGTAAACAGGGGTTTTAGTTTCCTAAAACAGCCTTGTGTTTGCATTTTACAATGAATATGTAGTTATCATCTCAGATTATTAATCTTTAAAATATTCTGCATAAACCAATTTTAATACAGCACATTTCTTTCAGCTCTTTCTTTTAGATTCTTTTTGTTGATTGCTTGTCATGGCAACAGGAGGTGGTCCCTTTGAGGAACACATGAATGATCAAGACTTGCCTAGCTGGAGCAATGAGAGCCTTGATGACCGGTTGAACAACACGGTATAATTCATCTTATCTTTCAGTTGGAGTTTTACGTTGTTATGTTAAAATTACCAGGTAGATTCTGTTAGTGGCAGGTAACAATGCAAAACCGTAAGCCTTATCAGTACAGCTTTACAGGTAAGTATCCGCAAAACCAACAACAATAATTGAGGTAGATGTCAGCAAGTAGCAAGTGTAATTCAGAGGCTGTGGAGTCTGTAGATGCGTTTATGGGAAGTGTTTTGGGTAAATAAAGTATCTAGACACAAAAGTGTTGTAGGTGTCCTGAAAGTGAAAACTCTAATTTTAAAAGTTATAAACTCCTAAAGAGTCTTCAGCAAAGTAAGAAAAATACAATTTTAGCTTCATTTGAAATTTATTTTATGCATCGTAGGATGAAATGGGTTCAAAATTTCCTGACAAGCTATGTTTAATTTATGCAGTGGAGAAAATTATATTTCGTAATGTTACGTTTGCTCTAGAAAACTTAGTCTGTATTTTGATATCGCTTTTTATTTTTACTTGTAAAATGGAAGTACAC